TAGAAGTGAAAATTCTTTTCTCTTGGTCTGCCGTTTTTTAGCTCTGTTCTTTCTACACTTAATCACTACACTTCTTCAGAAAACAAGTCAGTGGGATCCTCCAAAATTAAATTTCCCATATTGACAATAGCTCTTCCACTTTCTTAAACTGCTCTCACTGTTCCATCAGCATGCTCTTTGATGTCTTCCACTTTTAACTTGTATCGATTCCATCATCTACTCTACGTCACTTCCTATTCCCAGAGGAAATGCATATTATCACCGTATGATGAACTATACCTCGACAGCTGTCCTTAGCTCGTTGAGAAAAATGACCATGCGCATAGGGAATTGAAGAAGAAAAGGCTCATGTCAACAGGGTTTAAGAAAACAAAATTGAGACATACAAAAAATAAAACATATATCAAGCAAAATAATGCGATTGAGCAGTATTAAATATACATCAGAGTCTCTAAACTAATAATTGTACAATTTTTGTTGAGATGCCAGTCTCGGTTCCTATACGGACATTCGTCGCTCACCTGAAGAAGCTTTTATTAATAATTGAATAAAAATAGAAAAAGGAACGCACAGGAACCGAGACACGATTAAATGGAGGAGATAATTATGTACAGAATAACTAGCTATATAAGGTAACCCATGAACAAGTAACAAGCTCTGATTGTTCCTAGTGAAACTAACTGATGAAAAAAGTGAATATGGCACTTTTGAAGACTATTCACAACATTTAGAATAATAGGAGGGGCTAACGAAGGAGATCAACCACTCCACCGACCAAATATGGACAAGACAAAACGTTCGGCGGAGCCAATAACACCCGGCCTTGGAAGTTCATACAAAAATTCTTTTTTGCGGTAATGTAGGGAATTTCCACGTTGCCGAAAGGCAACCGCATCTTCAATACCGATTGATGAACCACTTCGAAACACCAAAAATTCTTGATTACCTAAGAGAAATAGAACGTGGAAAGAGATAAAGGAAGCCCCACCAAATAAAGCAAAGCAAAAATACATGTAGGGAAGAGACATAGCTAACCTTCCAAAACAACTTTCGCAGCATCATCAATAGGTAATGAAGAAACTCTCGCAAACGTCGCCTTTTTTTCACCCACGGCGGGTTCACAGTTCTGAGCCGCAAAAACATTCTGAAAATGCTGACGTTTCGAAACCTAGGTGGGTGCACTTACTGATGTGGAGATACTCTTCTGAAGACGTTCTTCCAAAACCCTCAGGCGAGTATTAAGCTCTTCTATTGCTTCAGAATGTTCTTTCTTGAGTTTATGAAACTCATCAATTTT